CCACCACCACCCCCACCGCCGCCACCGCCACTACCACTACCACTACCTCTACTACTACCACTACGACTACGAGTACGACTACGACTACGACTACGACGACGACGACTACTACTACCACCACCACCACCACCGACGACGACTACCACAACCACGACCACGACCACGACGACGACGACTACTCCTACCGCTACTACTACGATCAGTATTCTCTCCACTTCCGCGACGACTACTACTACCACCAGTAGCAGCAATACTCCTTTGTCATTGCAAGGCAGGACAATGGCACAGCATTTGCACTTGTGTCCGTGCTTTTAGTGAGCCCCAGCAGGATCGGCTGGGTTGGAGTTTCGTCGTCTGCAACGTGTGCAACCTGGGGGAGGCAGGAAGGAACCACGGAGAAGGGGATAAGTCTTCGTTTCGGCGTAGAGGTCCAAGGCTCGTACTCGCGCTCCCGATGTGCAGCAATGCGGGTAACACTATTAGAGGGTGGGTGTTCTTGCACTGCCATGGCTCCCCTGCGTCACCGATGTGGTGACCTGACGATGCGTACTCCACCTGCCCATGGCTGCCCTTTTGTACGGTTATTGGCTATTGGGTTAGAGTTGGGATCCTCAAAGAGGACCGATGCTCCCCCAGTTGAACTCGAAGTCTTGTTCATGTCATTGTCTTTTTGTCCCTCAAGTTGTGCTCCACGTGTCTGCAAAAGCGAGCGTGGTCTATTTGCCAAGCAACGGAGATTCCCTCCGCGAGGCAGTCTCGTGTGTGCGTCTTGGTGTGGTCAAGTCATCTTTGGCTTCTCACGATCTCTTTCTTCAGTTGAAGCGCTCTCGCGGCGCGTGTCAAGGGTTGTCCACCATTGCTTGAACTTGGGTGCGGAAAAGCGTGCATTGAGAAAGAAGCTTCCTCTCGACAGCAACGGCCTTGGTTTTGAGGAGTTGCTTGGTTGCTTTCTAAATAGTAAAACCCCGACAGCCTAAGACTCCAAAGCCCCCGCACTTAAGTTGCATAGAGGATTCGAATTCCACGTTTTGAATGCACTGAAAAAGCCTGTACCAGTAGCTTAAGACTCAAGCCCAATGTGCTGAACCTTATACCTTGCCGCCCTTATACACGAGAAAGTATTACGCCCTCGACCTTTCTTAAAAATACTCGCAGGCAGGGCGATGCCGCGAGCAGCAGCTGGTCTTTCGCTACGATGGGCCTTTGAGACATCTACCGGTGGTCCGGAACTTGAACCACGTGCTTGACGAGGTGGGCATGGTCGTCTGCGGTGTTTTAGGTGTTGACGAAACTTGGGTCACTAGCTTCTGATATCAAAAGGCAGCTTTCCACGGGCTGTCGCTGCCACCTTACTGGCTGAACGAAGACGTGCCCCTTGTTTGCAATGCTGGGTCTGCTGAGGAATGCATGGCCTTCGATTGTCCATCCCTGCTAGGGCTGCTACAAGTCAAACCTTGCATGAATCTGTCTTGAGTCTTGACGGATAATCCATTTGAGCACGATATCTTCACATACTACCGAATTCCCGTCAGTTGCCAGTGCCGCGCGGCCTGCCCACGCCCGGACAACATGCGGCACCTCCATCTCTATGCAAACGAAATCCTTGCTGAGAGGGCAGCCTGCAGCATTACACCTCGGTCCTCCTTTGCAGGGAAGCAGGCCCGCCCCATTAAAGCCCCAAAGCTCCCAGGTTGGCGCACAGGAAGAACCGCTCGATTGAAGTCTGCTCACAAGACGAGGTGGCGAACCTCCAGGAGCCTCGTTGTTTTGGGGTTTTGGGGTAGTCCTCGAAATTAGGGTCCCCTTTTATTGGGTCCGAAAGCCCCCCTAGGAAACCCTAATGTAGAGAGCTGCCCATTTTAGGGTTTTTGGGGCTCCCTGGAGCCTCTTCCTTTTTGGGTTGGAGTTTCGAGGGCTTCGCAAGCGTTAGGTAAGGATTCCGGGGTTCGGACTTGTCGGGTTTTGGGTAGGTTTCAAGGCCCCGGGATCGGCTTTAGGGTTGAGGGGTAGACGTGTACATTTAGTCCTAAACCAAAAAGCCCCCAAACCCTACACCCCAAGCTCCTAAACCTGGGTTGCTTCGGATTTTATGGTGCACCACCCGAGCCTCTGACGTCCTATCTCTGCTGCAATTCAGGGCATTTTTTTCTTCAAGGGTTTTAGGGTTCAGGGTTTGGGAACCCTAAACCCTACACCAGGATTTCGGGGTCAGGGTGATTTAGGTCTTCGGGGAGGGGGGGGGGGGTTTCGGATTTTGGGCTTAGTTAGGGGTCGGGGTTTGGGTTTTCGGGTTCTTTTTTTGGGGGGGGCTCCTCTTAGCCCTTTGCAGAGCCCTAAAACACCCCTGCTCCAACACGAGTCACTAAGGGCACCCTAGCAGCACATCATTCGACAATCGCCCCTTCATCCAGGTAATTTGGAGTCTTTGGCTGAGACGTCAGCGCTTTGGAGCCCACGTGCTGTCAGCATCCAAGCTTGCCCCTAAACCCGAAACCCTAAAACCCTAAACCCGAAACACCTTCTGCAAAGCCCACAGTGTTTGCCGACAGGAGATCTTCGACGAGACCTTCAAGCGCATTCTGACGCGGGACCGTGTCTACGAGTATCAGGCCGGGAAAGACACAATACCCACGATGTTTGGTATCCCTGAATTAGAATAGGGTTTTAGGGTTTAGGGTTTAGGGTTTAGGGGTTTAGGGGTTTAGGGGTTAGGGTACACCTTAGATCCAGTTCGGGATCCTGCCAACATCTAAAGCTTGGTGGGGATGTTGAGTGTTGCAGTGTTTGGGAGCAAGGGTTCCGGGATGAAGCCTCCGGGTTCGAAGGTTCAAGGACGCCGCCGCCAGCCCAAAAAAGCAAGTTTCAGAAACCCGAGGCCCAAGCCGATGTTGATTTCTGGGCTCCCCAGACAAGAAGACCACATAGGAACGTTTATCGAATCCGCCTTATGCGGGTCTTCATACCCGGCCGCGACCTGCAGTCCTCCTGAAACGGTGCTTCAAAGTCTGAGGCAAGCCCGCGAAGCCCGAGACCGTGGAAGCTAAAGCCCATGTCCAGGGATGCTTCTGTTGATTTTAGGATGTGCGCTTTAAGGGTTCATTTCGGCTACCCGGAAGGCGGAACCCGAAAACCCTGAACACAGAAGCCGATATCCTCAAGAACCCCAAAAATTAAACCCTTCGAGTCTCTTGGAAATCCGAGGCCCGCACCAATGAGGAGATGCCTTATCGCCTCGAAGTGGTGCATGCCTTCAGGATGGGGAGTGGTTTAGGCTCTAGACCCTCAACCCTAAATCCAAGGGTTTAGAAGAGGAGGAGGAGGGTTGCCTTTTTTTTTGGTGTGGCAGTGAGGGTTAGGGTGACAAGGACTATGGGGGCTGATGATGGTGATGAATGATGTTGCTGACACTGGATAGTGATGATCATGGTGGCGAGGGTGTTGCCGATGGTGATGCTGACGATGGTGCTGGTCATAACCCGAGGTCCTAAGCGAATGCCGGTCCTCAGATACTAGGAGCGAGAATGCGGAGCTCTACCTGAAGTTCGCAGAGCGGCGAGAAGAGTACAAGGGCGGCTGGCCGCTGAAGGCCGGATCTTCAGGAGTGTCGGCACGAGGACGTGGCTGAAGTACACGTACAGTAGCACATCATCTTGTAATCATGCCATGTCATCACGTCTTCGTGAGTTTGTATGTGGTGTTCACTCTGACCTATGGTCATACACGGCGATGCACGGCTTAGCCTCAACAGATAGGTATTGGCAGCATGCCTGGTGTTTACCTATATATGTCTGCTTATTTGCGGCTTATGTGTTTTATATGGTCACGATGTTGAATGCAGTCGTGACCTGCCAAAGTATCCTGTTGCTTATCTTGTTGCACCTGCGCGCTCTTATAGTGGCATCTCACGACCAGGGCATGTTTGGAACCGCGTGCGTTTTTATCTTATGCCAATGTGTATAGTAAAGATACATATACACATCTGTGTATGTCACTTTTAGTAGAACCGGCATATTCAAGTTTCTATATATGTATATACGTATACATACATATGTATAAAGCTGGGTCATACCACATCTTTAACCTTTCTAGTCAATGTGTTTTCTGTTTTGCTACTTGCTTGGACATTCGCATGATCTTGCATGTTGCTACATAGTGTACAGCCCCTTACATGGCTGGCGCATGCCTGTGGTAAGCTACGTGCCGCTGGATATTGCTGCGTATCATGGGGCAATCCTGTCGGATCCATACTGGCCTGCGGTGCGAAGTCCTAGTCCGCAAGTGTAGTTTGCAAGCAACGAAGCGCGAGCAATTTCATTGAGCTTTGAGGCGTCTCATATTCGTGCATACATAAAAAATGGCTGTGTATGGGCACATACCTAGTCCTGTATGTTCATGCTGACGCACGGAAATACATGCACACCGGTGTATGCATGCATATCTACACATCAATACGTTTGTGTTATTTTTGTTCCTTCTTGTTGTCGTCGTCGCCGTAGTGGTGGTAGTAGTACTAGTACTAGTACTAGTAGTACTAGTAGTAGTAGTAGTAGTAGTAGTAGTAGTAGTTCTAGTGGTGAAGTAGTAGTCCACGTCGTCATCTGTAACAGTAGTAGTGGTAGTCGTCGTCGTAGGAGTAGGAGTAGGAGTAG